TAGTATGGCCTTCCATTTTTATTAGGAAAAGTGTCTAGGTGAGGAAATTGAAAATACAGTTTTCAAAAAATGTAAAATTGGATTTTTAGTATCAAAATTTAACGTTTTTCAACAACTAATGTGAGATTCGTAATCAGCGTCAAAAACTACATCTAGTGATATGCTCCTATCAGTTCTACTCTAAAATAATTTTTTCAAAAACTTGATCAACGAAGTCTAGAGTTACGTCGACAAGCCGTGTAGACATCGATGACGTCTCTCTGTCTGCTGATTGAGCACCGGAATCTAAAAGACGTGAGCAGAGTGACGCCACAGAAAGCCTTTTAATATAATCAAAAGTTTCTAGAATAAACGTAAAAAGTGTACGATTTGTTGTACTTTTCATGCTCAATTGGATGCCTCACAGAAAAGTTTAAAAATCACTTGGTATCATGTTTTGCTATGGCTCAGAACTGACGGATTTTTCATTTTACTGGTAAAGCGACTAGTTTTGAAAAAAATACCATTTTTCTGCATGAAGTTTTACGATAAACTCAACACCAATGTATGCACTAGATTTCTCACGTCATTTTCTATCTAGTAGTATGTGAACCAGCTGTTAAAAATATGCGGTTGTTCTGTGACAAGTCGATTATTACCAGTAGTTATTTAATTTTTAATGCGCTTATACAAAATTCCTTTCCTATTCCACAAGAATTATCAAGACTTAAGCTAGTGTCAGCTGTTATCTGATAAAGACATAGGAAGATCATATGTTTAGAACAGTGACTTTTCTCCTCTCTGACGTCATTACTCTTCTCTCAAATGTCTCTCGTGTGTTCAACGACATGTAAGTTTTGTGTATAAATAGCTGTCCTATTAGGAATCTCATGTATGCAGTTCGTAACACACATCCACTCACACTAATTCCATCAACAACAACACCAGATAATTCATGATCAGCATGCATCGACCATAACACCAACAAGAATGACAATTATATCACCTTTAACAGAATATGAAAAAGTACGATGGCCATCAGAAAATGAAACATGGTTAGATTATTAAGTAAGACAACGGCGTGAAAATTTTCGAAAAACAACAGCAAATGAGTGTGGTGTATTAAATGAGGCGACTAATAGTGGAACACAATTACCAACAACATCAGAAGAAAGAGAAGAAGAAATTAATGATAATCAACAAGTACAATTACAACAGGGTGTTATCGGAACGATGGATCAAGATCGTACACTATTATTCTCAAAATTATATGGTACATTGGAACAATGATGGATGAAAAGAAAATCAAGTGCTGGAAAAGGATAATTAGCAACAAATATTGGTGATTTCTACCAAGCATTAGATGATGGTGAGTTATATATTCATCACCCGCTCATTGGTATATGAATTACTGTGTAATATATAAATTGGATAGTTTTCTATGTTGTTCATTTTATTCAGTAATAACTATTGACTGCACACATGAGACTTTCAATAGCACAGCTATTTATACACAAAACTTACATGTCGTTGAACACACGAGAAACATTTGAAAGAAGAGTAATGAAGTCAATAGTACAGAACATAACGTGACGTATAGCACTGATCAAGACATATGACATCTGAGAGGAGAAAAGTCACTGTTCTAAACATATGATAACATATGCTCTTATGTCTTTATGACATAACATCAGCAATTCAAAAATATTCGAAGAATGTTGCCCTCACTCCTCAAACAGAAAAGACTTTTAGAAAAATTTGGCTAACATCCAGAAATTATGTGACTAACGCCATCTGTAGCATGTACACTAACTTGTTTTATCCTTATCTCTCTCAATCAATCAAAATATAGATAGCTTTTCTGTTCTGTGATGTAATGCCTCTCTTAAAAACACGTGCTGTCTAGTCTCGTTCCATCACCTCGATACTACTTGTATCACTCTCGGTCTATATCATACGTGTCTCTATCTATAACATCTTCTCTCTATAACTCATCACAGAGTATACAGGCTTTGGTCACTGATCAAGGATATAAGCTGTATGGGTTGAGCAGCGGGGGGTGGAACACACTATAGCAATGCACAGGATGGGGATGAGAACACCTCAGAGACAATTTAGTCCAAAAGTAAATTCTTTGCATTTGAATTCAAAGTTCGTGTTCGATTCTACCAACTGTGTAGTGTTCTTTTGTGCTTTGCTTCTTTCTGTTCAATCCTGATCTCTCTCAATCATTAAATATCGAAGCAAACCTGACTTCTCTATCACTTCACTAAATGGAAATATTTTGATTTTACTGATATTGGAGCAGGTGGCACCATTCTTATTTTTGACCTTGGGCTATTTGTGAAACTTTGTAGGAGATATTTCATGGAATCATCTAGAAGCTATAGGATATCTTTGAATAAATAAATTATCTGACGAGTTACCTTTATTTGTTTGAAACGGTTCTTGGTGTATCCAAAATTCGTTGCTGTCCCTGAACGGTTATTTAAGAAAAAATAAAATGCGCGTTACAATCATTTTGCAGTGACTTATTATTGTTTGTTATAGAATGTAGAAGAAAACAATAACTGACTACTATACATAAGTGTAGCACTTAACACTCACGTATTGTTTGAAAACGAAAAAACACTAGATAGGGCTAGTCCCTACTGAAGTGTAAAACACCGAAAGAAAAAATTCAACCCACTATTTACTGAAGAAGATAAATTAAGAGTTTACTTTAATAAAATAAAACGTGGATATTTCTATTTGCTTTTTTTAGAAAAACGATGAGAAATCTGGGAAAATTGTTGAAAAATGGTGATTAAGACTCAAGTGAAGTAAAGGATATTGCTATTAGGGGTGGCACGTTCCTTTTATCGTTACTGTAACGGGTAATAGAAATCCGTTACCTCTTAATAGTAACGGTAACTTACCGTAAGTAATAACGGATTTTCATTATCGTGACTTCCATTTGTAAAGTAACGGAAAGTAATGCTGAAAGATTCTTTCTATTTTTATTTCTTTCTTAAATCAACATGAGAATTATTCAGCGCAATATCTTTGGACTTTTTTCTGACAGACAAAACATTTACGTCTGCTGCATTTTTGCCCTTTCGGCACCTTACTATCCGTTCCAAATGGTCAGACCGCTGGTTGCTTTTTGAATAACTTTTGATAGGAATGAGACAGAGACCTGCGATTTTCGCTGTTCAATAGCCAAGACTTGAGTAGAACTTTTCATAAGCGGAAGCAACTTTTGAAAAAGCTCCAGAGATCGGGTTTTCAGAGGATCTTTGGAAAACCAGCTCCGTTCTCAGAAAACTAACATACAATGTTAGTAATTTTTTTGCATGCGTAGATAGTTCGGACGTTACTCTACAAAATTATGCAACTCCCGACTCTCTAGCTATCGTCGTTCGGACAGGGCTCGCTTTCCCCGAGGACGTGTCTATCGCCAAGCAGACATCTCTGGGAATCTCAAAATGCCATGGACTATAGGTAATCGACTACGCTGAGCATAGTAGCAACATTTGTTTTTGTGTAGAAATGAATA